ATCAAAGCTTGACATATATAAATTATCATGAAAGCATGCACATGCACGTGTTGCAATCTGATTGGCGAAACTTTAAATGTCTATAACTTTTTTAGTTTTCAACAAAACGGGATGAAATTTAGAATATGAATAGGTATAATGGATTCCCACATTATGCTACTATCAAAATTGAATGCAAGGACATGCATGCACATGCGCAAAATGATTATACTTAAAACATGGTAACATTTATATTTGTATAATTTTTTTCTTATTTTAAGTATATAAAAATATGTTAATCGTGTAGCCATCATGCCATGATCATCTTGTATATGTATGAACGTGCGCGCGCATGCTAAACGTTGAATGACATTTATAATTGATATCATTATAACTTTTTTATTCTTTAAAGAAATCCTTCGATACTAAGCAAATAAAAAAGTCTTCCAGGAATAAGGCACAAAAAGGGATTTGGGGAGCGTTTGGGGACATCTGTAACGGTCCCGTTACAATTAACTCTAGTTGGTGTGTGAATCACACAGACTTGTCACGTAGGCAGGGTATTCAAATTAATTTCACTGTTGGCCTGGTAGAAAAACACAGGGAATTTAAATATATATATTTGTTTAAACTTGCTGTGTTTTCTATCTCTTAAAAGCTCAATGTGATGGATATTAATTTTATTTCACATGTAGGTACAGCTTTTGTACAGTTCAAAACTAAAGCAGATGCAGAAAAATTCCGAGCAGCAGCAGCAGATGAGGAGGTAAGCTACAAAGTTTTCTGTCAGCTTATTATAAATTAGTGCAGGGATAAAACATGTTTGTATTAAATTACAGATTTATCTAGTTTTCAACAGTAAGTAATGATAAATTATTATCAAGCATTTTCAGTCACAAGATGACAGTGACTTATGCTGTCTCACTGAAATTATGTTTCAGTGTGTACTAATTTTGTAAAACAATGTATACATACAAATGAAAATTATAGAAATTCAAAAAGAGGTTATTATCCCAATTTTGAATTTTAAAGAAAAAAAAAATCACATGGAAATTCTATTCCCTCATACTCATGATCTTGTCTTTAATACTGAAGAAAAAGTTGGCCTTTCAACTGCCACTAGAGGTCGGTTTTATGAACAATATCTCACTGCTGAAACATGTTGAGAGCAGGCTCGGGCAGTTTTTAGCATTTCCAAAGTGTTTCTTTGCTCTCAGTAGAATCCAGTGATCTTAAAATTTAGCACCAATGTTAAACTTATTTTCTGTATAGTTACGGACACCATTTCACTACATATAATTAAAAGTTTTAAAAATTAAAATAAAAAGGGAAATCTACCCTCCTTCTTAGTTCTAACCTAATCAAATTTTTATACTCGGTTGTTCCCCTTCGTGCTTAGTAACACAAGTAAGATGATCAATTGCTGCATTTACTTGTAAAAATATAAATATTTATATAGTAAGGGAAAAAGGCGAATACAAAAAACATGACATTAAATTTTCTTCTTCTCATAATAATCATCAAAGTAAAAATATTGAATATAGTACTGTCCCCATTCATAACACAAACTCATTAGGGTGAGTGAGAAGCATTCTCTTCTCATAGTCAGCTATGTATAACAAATCAGGAGAAACCTGTTCTGCTGTATATTAACAATACAATGCTAAAACGTTCTCTTATGTCATTCCTATAAATGATAACTATTCATTTTAAAATCGGCACTAAGTTGGTCATTTTTCACACCTGAGTTACGTATCCTTATAACACAACATCAAAAAAGTCAGTTATAAATAATTAAACTTTTTAATGATGTAATTAAATGTATGCATAACTTATTATTTTTTTTGATAATTTCATGTACCTATAAATCTATCTATGCAATGTTTTTCACCATATGAGCAACTTGAAAAATTAGTTGAAAGGCCTAGAAGTAAAAGGGCCTCACCTGTGAGATCTGTTCATTTGATTCCTGTTCACCTGTACTGTTTTCTTACTCTTTCCCTTTGTTTTTTGTTCAGGAGGGCATCGTTGTTGATGGTCGGAGACTAAATGTCATAGTGGCTGTGGAGAGGGAAAAGGCTCAAGATTTATCGGGTCAAAAGTCAAAGGTCAAAGAGGACAAGAGAAATCTACATCTTGTAGAGAAGGGAGTAAGTTTAAATAGCCTCATTAGGGACAATGTATATGGTTATTACCAGTGCTTGATTTGGACAATAAAATATTCAATATAAATATACATGTACTGTCAAGTGGTAAAGATATTTTATCATGTGGTTTATTTGTTATCCTCTATTGGATTTACAGATAAAAACATGCAAGTTTTGAATTTAAGGGAAAAAACATTCAGTCTTTCAGTTTATCAAATCATTAAAGGAAAACAAGATATTTCAATAAATTTCTTTGAATTTGTTAGAAAAAAACTGATCAAGTGTTGTTGTAGGAAAATTGTATTACATGTATTTGAAAAGTGTCAAGACATGTGTCTTTGAATATCAATCTTCGTATTTTTCTTTCAGTGATTCGTCCAGGGACACAGGCAGCTGTAGGACTTTCCAAGGAGGATCTTTTGAAAAGGACAAAGGTATGAGAAATAAGTCAGTTGTTTGTTCTAAAGTTGTTAAGAATGAACCCCAAATCAGGTTAATAGGTTAATGTAAATCATGACAGGTAAGAAAAATGGAAATAAATTGCACTTTGTTTAATTTTGGGATATACTTATATTTATAGTTGGAGAATGTCAAGCGTGCCAAGTTGAAGAATCCCAACATCTTTGTGTCGACCACTAGACTGAGTGTTCACAACATCCCAACACAGGGTGGAGAACAGCTGAAGTCAGTCTTCCTGAGGGCAGCAGAAAGCAAGGCGGCAGTTATTACTGAGGTATACTTAGGGCTTATCCATGCTGAATTAATAAACTTGATAAAATTTAAGATAAACTGCAATTTAATTGTAATCAGCATCCTGTTTGCAATTCAATTTCACATTGCTGTTTTTTAACATTATCATGATTGTGACTTGATTGTGCATGATATCTTCTGTTTAAGCTTTTAATAGTAATTAACTGTACCTGATGTGGACATGATGCTAACCTATCCAAATTAACCTGTCAAAGTTTATTCTATAGTGTTGATCATTTCTTGGTGTCATAATTGTTTAAAGGCTGAATATACTGTATAATAGTAATCAGAAGTTCTTCATAAACTTTAAATCAGTTTAACAATTCAATGACATAGGTTTTACCTGTTGTTTGTATTCATATGTGTGATTCAGCCAGAAAAGGACAATAAATATAAAAATACACATAAAAGTAATGTGAATATGTCAATATGGAGATAAAAGTGAAATATTCATGAATATAATAGGAGGTAGAAATGTGTCCTATTGCAAATATAGTTTGAAACCATTTTCATTATATGTAAATTTTATTATATGACATAAATAGTGTAAGATAATGATTTGATATTACCATAATGTATTACGTGTATTCTTATATTGACATTTCAGTGTCGAATTATGCGAGATTTAGAAAGAATGAACAGCAAGAAGGTAGGAAAGTCCCGAGGCTATGCCTTTGTGAACTTCACATGTCATCAACATGCTCTGAATGCCCTCAGAAACACCAATAACGATGCTGATTTGTTTGGCGAGAACAAGGTATCTTGATTATAAAGAGTATGAAAATAAATGTACATGTACATGTACACATGTATTTGCTTTCCAAATTTCTATCTACCATCATATTATGATGCAAAGATTCATCTATACTTTGAATTACCTATAAACACAAATAGCAGGAACATCCCTTTAAAAAACAAAAGTTATTTTTTCTAATATTTATATGTATTGTTTTGGCAGAGGTTAATTGTTGAATTTTCACTGGAAAATAAAGCAGCTCTACAGGCCAAAGAGAAACGACTGGAGAGACAAAAGGTATCAATCAAATATATTACCTACTACCTGTACTGCCCACTTCCCCTGTTGGACTTAGGGTTGCTATAATATTATTGTGCCTTTGTCATTATGATTCCTTACTTCAGACACATACTTGATAATAAGGAATTATGTGGTCAACAGCTTATCATGCCTGCTTTGTTTATTTTCTGTTTAACTTAATATGAGTTTATTTTCTGTGAGATGCAATATGAGGGGAAAAATGAGATTTTTTTCTCAAATATTGTGTAAATGCATTTTGTATCATGAACAAAAAGCTTTAAAATACAAACATTCAAAGTGTACATATGTTATTAGGGGCGCCTGGAAGCCCTTAACAAGGCAAAATCAAAGGATTCTATGAATGAGACCATGGAGAATAAGAAATCAAAAAAGCAGCAGAAATCCCAAGGCCCGAAAATGGTGGACAAGTTTATAGGGAGCCTTCCAGCTGCAGAGGATGGTAAAAAGTTACCTAAAGGTCTACCCTCCCACTGGGGGGCTAAAGTCAGGCACAAACCTAGGCCAGCCGTGACGACAACCAATAAAAAGTCTAAAAAGAATGTACTCAAAAGGAAATCGGAAGAAACAAGTGTATTTAGTGAAAAGGTGTGTATACTAGAAATACTTCAGGATGAATACTTAAAAATTTCATCAATAAATCAAATCAAAATCTTGATGAATAAAGTGTAACTTTTGTTACTTCCTCTTCAGAGAAACCACCCATTATAAGAATGGCTTCTATAGTTAAGCTTTATATCCAACTGATATTTGAGTCTAGTTTAATTGCAAAAGACAATTAAATACTGTAGATCAACTTTTATTCGCGACGACTTTATTTCGCGATTAACCACAGCGAAAACTAGTTTGCGACAATTAATTTTCGCGATCAAACATAGTTTTGATCAGTTGTTTATTGACACAGAGACTTTAAGGACCGGTTCGCGGTGAGAAAGATTCGCGATGACCAGGCCCTCGCAAACCTCGCAAAAATTTCTCGCACACGAATAAAAGTTGGTTTACAGTAATTGATGGTCATTTTTAGCTCACCTTGACAAAGTCGAGATGAGCTTATGCTATACCCCGGCGTTGGCGTCGGCGTCCCAGGTTAAAGTTTTAGGAGCAAGTCCATTCCCAAGTAACTATAAGCCCTACCTGAACAAAACTTGCATGGATGATGCATCTAGGGATGTACACTACCAGAATTGCTTCGGATGCTGGATCTGACCTACATTTCCTAGGTGAGTGATTAGGTTAAAGTTTTTGGAGCAGGTCCATTCCCAAGTAACTATAAGCCCTACCCGGACCAAACTTGCATGGATGATGCATCTAAGGATGGACACTACCAGACTTGCTTCAGATGCTGGATCTGACCTACATTTTCCAGATGAGTGACCAGGTTAAAGTTTTTGGAGCAGGTCCATTCCCAAGACAAGATGAGTGACCAGGTTAAAGTTTTTGGAGCAGATCCATTCCCAAGTAACTATAAGCCCTACCCGGACCAAACTTGCTTAGATGATGCATCAAGGGATGGTCACTACCAGTCTGGCTTCGGATGCTGGATCTGACCTACATTTTCCAGATAGGTGATAGGGTTAAATTTTTTGGATAGGTTTATTCCCAAGTAACTATAAGCCCTCCCTGTACCAAACTTGCATGGATGATGCAACTAAGGATCGACACTACCAGACTTGCTTCGGATGCTTGATCTGACCTACATTTTCCAGATGAGTGACCAGGTTAAAGTTTTTGGAGCAGGTCCATTCCCAAGTAACTATAAGACCTACCCGGACCAAACTTGCACGGATGATGCATCTAGGGATGGACACTAAAAGACTTCCTTCAGATGCTGGATCTGGCTTACATTTTCCAGCTGAGTGACCAGGTGAAAGTTTTTGGAGCAGGTCCATTCCCAAGACAAGATCAGTGACAAGGTTAAAGTTTTTGGAGCAGGTCCATTCCCAGTTAACTATAAGCCCTACCTGAACCAAACTTGCATGGATGATGCATCTAGGGATGGACACTACCAGACTTGCTTCGTATGCTGGATCTGACCTACATATTCATTCCCTAGTAACTATAAGACCTTCCTGAACCAAACTTGCATGGATGATGCATCTAGGGATGGACACTACCAGACTTGCTTCGGATGCTGGATCTGACCTACATTTTCCAGATGAGTGACCAGGTTAAAGTTTTTGGAGCAGGTCCATTTCACAGGAACTATAAGCCCTATTTGTACCAAACTTGCATGGATGATGCATCTAGGGATGGACACTACCAGACTTGCTTCGGATGCTTAATATGACCTACATTTTCCAGATGAGTGACCAGGTTAAAGTTTTGGAGCAGCCGATCCCAAGTAACTATAAGCCCTACCCGAACCAAACTTGCATGGATGATGCATCTAGGGATGGACACTACCAGACTTGCTTCGGATGCTGGATCCGACCTACATTTTCATTCCCAAGTAACTATTAGCCCTACCTGAACCAAACTTGCATGGATGATGCATCTAGGGATGGACACTACCAGACTTCCTTCGGATGCTGGATCTGACCTACATATTCATTCCCTAGTAACTATAAGACCTTCCTGAACCAAACTTGCATGGATGATGCATCTAGGGATGGACACTACCAGATTTGCTTCAGATGCTGGATCTGACCTACATTTTCATTCCCAAGTAAGTATAAGCCCTACCTGAACCAAACTTGCATGGATGATGCATCTAGGGATGGACACTACCAGACTTGCTTCGGATGCTGGATCTGACCTACATTTTCATTCCCAAGTAACTATAAGCCCTACCTTAACTAAACTAGCATAGATGCTGCATCTAGGGATGGACACTACCAGACTTGCTTCAGATGCTGGATCTGACCTATATTTTCATTCCCAAGTAAGTGTAAGCCCTACCTGAACCAAACTTGCATGGATGATGCATCTAGGGATGAACACTACCAGACTTGCTTCGCATGCTGAATCTGACCTATATTTTCCAAACAAGAGACCAGGTTATAGTTTTGGGAACAGATTAATCCCAATGAACTTGAAGTCCTTGATACCTGCATTATTAACAAAGTTATGAATATTTGTTTACACTATACATGTTTTTCACGCTACATGCATAGAAATATGTATATGCCCTGTAAGGGGTTAAACACAACTTGCAAGAATATTGTTGTTGGGATAAATACTAGATATTAAGAAAATATGATGTGAGATTTGCATTACTTACACTGATAACATTCGTCGAGGTGAGCTTTGTAATCTTTGATTACCTATGTTTTCAAATACATGACAGTATTATATGATTTATGATGCATAAATTAAAATAATTAGCCTATGGTTTAAGGTACAGTGGCTGGAACGTTATTGTTGACAACTTACACGCACGATCACGTTACACGAATGATTCCGCACGATTAACGCACGATTAAACCTGTTACACGAACGATCTTTCACGTTCACGATTCTACACGTTACACGATCTTACACGATTGTTAAGGCAAACACACGATTCTTCACTCAAAATAGTTCAAAATATCTAGGAATCAATATTTTCAAAACGAAATACGGCTTAATACTTATTTAAGATTGCAAAGAATTATCAATATTATTTCATAGACTTTGAAGGGAAAAAAAACGGTAAATAATATTTCTGTATCTAAACATATGCAAGACTTAATATTTTAGATTTAAAATAATTATGTCTAAGGTAATTCTCCGATCAAAAAAAACGGATTTTGTTCGTTCTATTAGACGATGTACATGTATGTGGGTCGTATAATTTGATTGAATTGAATATCATGATATGCAGAAAGGGGGATACGATTGAACAAAAATGGCAGCATGGAATGACTTAAATTATAATTACAATTTTTTTCCTTAATATGTTTCCAATGATTAAGTGTATGAAAAACTTGCCAATTATTCAACTTTTTTATTTGCAGAAATTTAAAATTAATTAATTACAAATAGGCTAAAGAGATAAACACAGAAAATCAAAACTCCCGAAAATCATGCCGTGTCCATGTATATTTGTCGACTAACTAGTTATGTAAGCATTGAGAAATGTTTATTTCTCTGTAAAAAAAAAAAATATTTATTTTCAATGAATTGATTTCAAGATTATTTTCACCACAATAAGAAGTAAATAATAATTAATATCAGATTGTTCAAAAAGGCGTTAAAGATTTAAGTACGGTTTATCACAATATTGATCGCGCTATTTGACGAGAACTTAATATTGTACGACTTACTATATTGCTTGTTTACGGGCGATAATTAGTTCGTTCTGCTTTCTATTATGTAAATTGCGCTTTTCATTTTATTTGGATTTTAATTAATAAATTAAGAAAAACAAAGAAGGGTAATGCTTATTTTACAAATAAAATTCCGATAAAAACTTACAAAACGAAATTTACACGATTCTAAACGCACGATCTCGCACGATTGAAAACGCACACGATTGAGTCTGATACACGAACGATCTTGCACGTTAAACGAACGATCACTCACGATACACGAACGATTCTACACGATTGGCTTGTCAACAATAACGTTCCAGCCACTGTAAAAAGCCTTAGCTCTACTAGTCACATATATTTGATGCTAAAAGAAAAGTTGTTATTTATTTGCACTGTACATGCCTCCTTTTTACTTCAGGTCAAAACTGTGAAACCCAAGAAAAGGAAAATCGATGGTGTTGATGACTTTGATATGTTGGTGAATAAGTACAAGAAAAACTTGTTAGGCAAATCACAGAAATCAAAATGGTTTGATCGGTGATGATGAATTAATGTAAAAAAAGAAAACAAGAAGATGAAGAAAAATGGTTACCACAAAATTTGATGTTGATTTGTATAAAAGTAAAATAAATACACTTAAAAAAAGTCTATTTATAACATTTTCAACAATGGAAAATATTATTCCATTATTATGGCTTACACTAGACTAATTTAATAATAAAAACTGGGAAATTATCACTGGCATTGACAATTTTTTTTCATCCCATTATACGTTTAAAAATCAGGTCAATAAACCATAACTGATCAACATCTATTTCTTAATTCTAACCTGTCTAATTTAATGAATAAAAGGCGTTTTACACGTAAGTATAGTAGCTTGGTCCCTTTTTGCCCTTATTTTACAGAATATACTTGAGGTCAGAGGATATAGTATTATTTTTATTTTCATGGTGTATAACATAGTATTTCTAATTGAAATTTTGTACAATAATAATTATTGATGACTTTGAGTATTAAGAAATACAAGCTTCAACACCTATTGCACATACAAATTCCGGAACATTTTCTTTCGAACAGAGTGCGGTTTCTCTATTACATACAAATAAGCGGAGACATTTAAATTACTAGTAGGTACTATATAAAAGGAAGACATTGTGAGCTGTAGAGATAAGAAATAAACAATATACGATGGGTAAAAATAATCTCCAATAAGCTTGAGCTTTATTTTGCATTTTTCGTATTCTTCTTAACTTGGGGTGGGTGAGGTCTCTTTTTGTTCTGGAGGTATTTTTGGTCGGAGTTTTGAAAATCCCCTAATCACGTTATTTTTTTTTTTTTCAAATCTATCATTGTTGAATAAAATGTCAAAATATTTTAACCACTATATTAATTTTTAGGTCACCTGAGTAAACTCAGGTGACCTATTGCTATCACTTTTCGTCCGTCGTCGTTCGTCGTGCATCGTGCGTTAACATTTGAACATTTTCAGCTTCTTCTCTGAAACCACTGAACCAATTTCAACCAAATTTGGCATATAGCATTTATGGGTAAAGGGGAACAAAAATTGTGAATTTCATGGTCCCTGCCCCCCTGGGGCCTGGGGGGTGGGGCAAAAACCACTAAAATTAAACTTTAAAACTTAAATAAATAAAAATAAAATATAAATAAATATATTAAAAATAAATAAATTAAAATAAAACTTTAAAAATCTTCTTCTTTACTCCTGGACATCAAGCAGTCAAACTGTTTGCATGATTGTAATCAGCATTGAGTCCTCTACCAAAATTGTGAAATTCATGGCCCCAGGGTCATGGGTTCTAGTGCTAGGGCGGGGCTAAATAAGTATATAGTGAAATTGCATTATTTCTTTGAAAATCTTCTTCTCTGCTCCTGGGTATTAAATAAACTAACTAAGTGCATATTTATGATGAACAAGAGTGCCTCTACCAAAATTGTAATTTTATGGCCCCAGGGTCAGGGGTTCTGGTGTAAGGGGGGGGGGCTCTATAGATTATATAGTGAAAATACATGAATTCTTTGAAAATCTTCTTCTCTGCTCCTGGGTATTAAATAAACTAACTAAGTGCATAGTTATAATGAGCAAGAGTGCCTCTACCAAAATTGTGAATTTTATGGCCCCAGGGTAGGGGTTCTGTTGTAAGGGGGGGGGGCTCTATAGTTTATATAGTGAAATTACAAGACTTCTTTGAAAATATTCTTCTCTGCTCCTGAGTATTAAAGAAACTAACTAAGTGCATAGTTATAATGAGCAAGAGTGCCTCTACCAAAATTGTGAATTCTATGACCCCAGGGTCAGGGGTTCTGGTGTTGGGGGGGGGGGGGGGGCTCTATAGATTATATAGTGAAATTACATGAATTCTTTGAAAATCTTTTTCTCTGCTCCTGGGTATTAGATAAACTAACTAAGTACATAGTTATGATGAGCAAGAGTGCCTCTATCAAGATTGTGAATTTTATGGCCCCAGGGTCAGGGGTTCTGGTGTGGGGGGGGGCTCTATTGATTATAAAGTGTAAATACATGAATTCTTTGAAATTCTTCTTCTCTGCTCCTGGGTTTTAAATAAACTAACTAAGTGCATAGTTATGATGAACAAGAGTGTCTCTACCAAAATTATGAATTTTATGGCCCCAGGGTCAGGGGTTATGGTGTTAGGGCAGGGCTCTATTGATTATATATTGAAAATACATGAAGTCTTTGAAAAAAAATTATTTTCTGTTCCCAGGAATGAAATAAACTAATTACATAGTTATGATGAGCAAGAATACCTCTTCCAAAATTGTGAATTTTATAGCCCTAGGGTCAGGGGTTCTAGTGATAGGGCGGGGCTCTATTGATTATATAGTGAAAATACATTACATCTTTGAAAGTTTTCTTCTCTGCTCCTTGGTATTAAGCAGATGAACTACCTACTAGTATATAGTTATGATGAGCAAGGGTCCTAATCTTCCAGAATTGTGAATTTCAAGGCCCCAGGGTCAGGGGTTCCATAAAGGAGGGGGGGCTGTACTTATATACTGAAACTGGATGAATTGTTTGAAATCTGCTCCTTGGTATTAATCAAATATTTTTGAAAAGCAAGGGTGCCTTTTCAAAAATTGTGCAATGTGTGGATCTAGGCCTAAGGGTCAGGGGTTCATGTGTGATTGGGGCATTACTGATCATGCCAAATATACTGATTACTTGAAATGCATTTTTTGTTCCCCTACCCTGCCAATGGGTATTAAGTAAACAAACTAAGCATCTGTTAGGTGTATTGTTATGATGATCAATGGTGCCTCTTTCAAAATTGTGAATGCCATAAGCATCTGGATTAAAACATGAATCAAATTCAATCACTAGAAAGTTGTTGCATAATGCTCAGGTGACCTATAAGGCCCATGGGCCTCTTGTTCTTTTATATGATAATTCAAAAAGTACAAACGATCAAATAAAAAAATGCGGCAAATACACACAGAAATACATTCCCTTTCTTTTGTAAGAGGGGGAGGGGTGAGAAAAAATAAACAAGAATAGATACCCAAACAGAAGTTTGATAAAGCAAAAGAAAAAGAGGAAACCCTCCCAAACTTAAAAAAAATAGATTATGTAGGAGTGGGAGTCAAACTATTACTCCCCTTACCAAAATATTGACCTTCTGGCAACATCTTCTGGCTTTATTGCCGCAATATTGCAGCAACATTCTGGCAATACATTGCCGCAATATTGTCGGCTATATCGTTTTCGTATGTAAATTGGTTTTGCGGCAATATTGCCAGAAAGGGGTTGCGGCAATACTGCTGCAAATCATAACCAAATATTGATCTTCTGGCAACATTGCCGCAATATTGCGACTATATAGTTTTTCGTATGTTAATTAGCTTTGCGGCAATATTGCAAGAAAGGGGTTGCGGCAATATTGCTGCAAATCATGACCAAATATTTTCTTCTGGCAACATCTTTCGGCATTATTGCCGCAATATTGTGGCAATATTGTTTTTTGTATGTAAGTTAGATATAAATTGGTATTTAATAGAAATAATGATCTATCAATCTAACAATTAACAAACGGTGCTGAGGAATATAACAAACAATAGTGAGTCACAGGGTCAATAAGAAATAGCTACTTCTGCTAGAAAATAATGTTGATCATCAGAATAAAAATCAAGATATGTTTGTGAAACACTATGCGCTTGGTGGCTATAAAGTTTGAAAAAGCTATTTATGGCATATGGGTCACAGTCAAGGTCACAAGGTCATTGATCTTGGTGTCATTTGAAAGAACTTAATTAGTGGAGTATGCATACTAAGTATGAAGTCTCTATCTCTTATTGTTCAAAATTTATGGCAGAGGATCAAAATGGCTATTTTTAGCATATGAGTCACAGTAAAGGTCAAATTGTCATTGACCTTGGTGTTACTTGAAAGAGTTTAATTAGTGAAGGGTGTATACCAAATATGAATTCTCCATCTTTTATGACTCAAAAGTTATGTCGAAGTTTCAAAAAATCTATTTTAAGTATATGGTCACAGTCAAGGTCCCAAGGTCATTGACCTTGATGTTATTTGAAAGAGCTTAATTAAGGAAGGGTGCAATTTAATGCAGTTTTTATTTTTATGGCTCAAGATTTATGTCCAAGGTTAAAAAAATCTTTTTTAAAGGAAGGGGTAACCAAGGTCTCAAGGTCATTGACCTTCAGGTGTCTTTTGAAAAAGCTTAATTAGTGAATTATGCAAGCTAAATATAAAGTCTCTATCTTTCATTAATTTTAAGTTATGATGAATATTCAAAAAAGCTATTTTTAGCATATAGGTCACAGTCAAGGTCACAACGTCATTGACCTTGATGTCATTTGAAAGAACTTAATTAGTGGATAGAAATCCAAATTTGAAATCTTTATTCCTTTGGTTCAAAAGTAATGGTGAAGGTTAAAGTTTACAAACAGACAGGACAAAAAAAAATATGTCCCCCCATCTATAAACGGGCGCATAAAAAATGTTTATAGAAACAATATTAATATGCCACTGTGAAAATGTCCAGCAACTCTCATTAATTTTCAAAAAAATACATGTTTAATTCATCTTTTCCGCACTTAGAATATATAGACATACAACTTGAGTAGTATGCATGCATCACAAGCACTAATTGAAAACAATAAAATTTTTCCCATTTTATCTCCATTGAATATTCATCTCAAAAAGAATATTGGTTTTGACTCACCAAGTCTGATGATATGGAAACAGAGTACACATTCCTATAAATTTGTTAAATTTTTTTTTTAGTATTCCCCACTATGAGTCTTACTACTATCTTCACTAATCCCACTGTACACAATTAACAACTCTAATTAACTTAAAAAAGTAAATGAAAAAAAATGCTTTCCTTTGAATTCCCTCCACTTTATTTAAAAAGAGGAAGTAAATGACTGAGCATGCTCAACAAATGGCTCATGGGTAATCCTAGAGTTGCCAGAAAGTTTTTTTTTTGGCAGTATTGCCAGAAGTCACCGGAAGTTGTTGCAGCTAGCGGTGATATTTCATTTTTTTGGCATTTGCCAGAATGTCACCAGAAGTTGTTGCTGCTAGCGGTGAATTTTACTAACCCAAAAAGCTTGTTTTGGTGAAAAAAATGTTGCTGCAATGTTGCCGCAATATAGCGGCAATATTGCTCAAAATTTTACTTTGGTAAGGGGGATTTTATATTTTCATT